AAACCACCTCTTTGTTTTCTCTGTCAGTGGACCTGAACCCATATTGTGTGTCTTTCCCAACTGGTGATTATGCGGGCCTCTCTTATTAACTAGGACCAGCTTCTCTGGAGAATGATGGCTTATCTCTTTGAAGTGTCCTCCTCAGGCTCCTTAGAATGAAGTTTTCATATGCCAAACAACCCATATTTTAAGTCAGACCATCCCAAACGTGTCCTTAGAATTTGGTGAAAATCAGTCCAGCCATTTTCTTTTTTTTTCTTTTTTAAAGATTTATTTATTTGACAGAGAGAGAGAGAGCACAAGCAGACGGAGCGACAGGCAGAGGCAGAGGGAGAAGCAGGCTCCTGGCTGAGCAGGGAGCCCGATGCAGGGCTCGCCCCCAGGACCCCAGGATCAGGACCTGAGACGAAGGCAGACGCTTAACCAAATGAGACACCCAGGCGCCCCCAGACCAGCCATTTTCTTATGATATGGTACACAAGTAGATAAGAAGTCACAAGCTTCACTTTATTACATGAATAAATCTCCCACTGCTCCCTGACTCTGACCTTTAGGGGAAAAAAGAGAGGGAGAAAACTTACAAAACGAGAGCACACTTGATCTTTGTACCTTGCGTTTTTTTCTTACTTATTACTATATCTTGAGATGGTTTTGTATTTCCTATCAGTCCACACAGTTTTGCCTCTGTATTTATAGTATAAATACTGGTTCAATTTCATTTGTGAATTTACAAATATACAAATATACAAATATACTTGTATCTTTTCTTTCTAAAACAAAGTCTTAATTTCTGTTAAGTGTAGGGTGACCAACTCGTCTTTTTGCCTGGGATTTTTCTCAATCTTATCACTTAAAGTTCTGTGTCCCGGAAACCCCTCTTCACTTTTGTCCTAAAATGAAATCATTAGCCAAATATTGTCCACCCAAAATATGGATTTTCCTAGGACGTTTGCTAGTGTTGGGGGTTGCCTTACGCTTTTAGGTGGCTGTGTAGTATTCTGGGGTATGACTTTACCATAACTTTACTAAGCCTGCTTGCTACTAATGGACATTTTGTTTCTAGAGTTTTGCTGGAACAAACAAGTCTTCCACAAATGTCCTTGCTTATTTGTTCTATAAACTGGTAAATTCCGCATGATAGTTTGTTTTGAAAATAAGGCTTTCCTGCTAAAAACAAAACTCAAAAAGCCACATGATTAAAGACTCTTTCATCTTGGGCTCTCTGCGAGTCTCTTTTTCTTCAGGTGACTGACTGGGCTAAGCATGAGTTTAAAATGGGTTGGCAGCCAAGGTCTGGGAAAGAAGCCCAGGCACAGGAGAGGCTTCCTGGGGTGCATAAGGGAGAAAAACAGCCCAATGCTGTGCTTCACAGCGTGGAGGGGGCTGTTTAGCAAGGGCAGTGGGAGAGGAGTTGGCCAGACTTCGAGGGGTCCAGTGTTGGCCAGGAGTAGGGCTGGGAGACTGGGGCCATTCAGCTGTGTTCCAAAAAGAGCAGGGAGAGGAAGGGAAAACAAGCCCAGACTCACACTGGGTGGCTGCCGGCTGGCCAGGCTTCTTGGTACAACAAGGCCGGTGCCAGGCGGCAAGGCCCAGCCAGCCATCCCCCGGGATCCCACCCCAGACTGGGCAGGATTAGGTCAGTTCCACAATTTCTTTTTGGGGCTATAAGGAATGGAGTTTTACGGAGTAGGGGATAATTCAGTACTTTTCCAGAGAGATGGGCTACCTGAGCCAGAAAGGTGATTTTCTAGTCATGGGGTGTGTGTGATTTCATGTGTATCAGTGCATCCTTTATCCTTCAAAGGGGCTGCAGCATCACTTGCCAAAATGTCCTAGGCAGGATGCTACTAGTGAAACACCAGATTCAAAAGTCAAAAAAGTTCAGGAAATGGCAAGTCAGTCAAAATCAAGCAAAATTCTTCACTGTGGGGATTCTCAGAGCCTTCACTATGCTGACACTGTACTTCCTGACTCTTTAAAAGGAAGATGAAGTATACATTGTTTCCTAAACGTTGTGTCCTTGGAATATCCCCTGCCCCCTCAGGGAACACATAGTAACATCTTTACTAAATGGTGTTTGCTAATTCTAGTCCATAGGAAAAGGCAGAAGCCAACAGGCCTACCTGTAAACCATCCAAAACTCCGGGACAGAGGGGGCTACGGAATCTGGCCAGTGAGAACTATCGGGTTCTGCCGTGTCCTACAAAAAAGTGTGATGAGCATCTTTTTAAAAAAAATCATTGACTTTGGGCGCCTGGGTGGCTCAGTTGGTTGAGCGACTGCCTTCTGCTCAGGTCATGATCCTGGAGTCCCGGGATCGAGTCCCTCATCGGGCTTCCTGCTCAGCAGGGAGTGTGCTTCTCCCTCTGACCCTCATGCTCTCTCTATATATATCTCATTCTCTCTCTCAAATAAATAAATAAAATCTTTAAAAAAAATAAAAATGAAAATAAAAAATAATTGACTTTCATGAGCGTGAGCGATTCCTCTGGAACTGAGTTAGGAGCAGCCGCGCGCTTGTGAAGACAGTTGACTGAATATGGCAGAAGAGCTTGGGCTTGCTTCCACCTGCATCTCTGCCTCTCAGTTCTTCTGGTCCCAGAGATTCAGCATCATACTTCACCACAGTGATCTCTGGGGCTTCTGTGTCAGGCTCAGCACACACAGCACCAGGGGAGAGATGCCCCACTTCATTATCATCTCCATTGTGTGGCCTCCGTCTGTGACTCCTCCGTGACCTTTGCTGGTGCATTTTGTTAGGTTAAAAGGCAAAGCCATCTGGGAAGAACCATTGCCAAGGTCCTTAGCAACCTCTCTGCCCTGAGATCTATGTGGAAAGAGCCAGATTTGGTGTTGGAGGATGGAATGTCCTGTAACAGAGGCTTTGTTGGCCATTCTTTCCCATCCTTGAGTCACTGGATAAGGTTGGTACCTTGTATCTGGGGTCCTTTCTCCTGGAAAGAACTAGAAAATGAAATGCTAAAGAGTCAGAGAGAACTTGAGTCTTAGTTTGCTCTGCCACTAATTTGCTGATTGATACTAGAAAGCTTTTCCTTTCGCCGAGCCTTACATTCTTCCTCTGTAGGATGAGGTGGTCAGACTATTTCAATCATTTTCTAACTTTCTGATCAGAGGAAGACGTCTGTCAAAGCCTTAAGAGTCATCCCATCTAAAACAGATAAAAGTGCTCTCTAACCAAAGTGTTTTTAAGGTAATATTACATCATTATATTGTGGAAGTGTTTACTATAAAAGTCAGGATAGAGATGCTTTTAAGAGCAAGTAGTGTGTTGTCATTGGGTCAAGGCACACAGAGGACTGCACATTTCCTGACCTGAGGGGGAGTTACAAATTTCTGGGTGGCTGCAAATTTCTTGACCTGAGTGGGAGTTACAAGAGGTGTTTTCCTTAGAATCTTTCAGTGAACTATAAAAATATTACTAATATGTTATAAAGTCGATCACTGAGAACACAACTGTGTCAGTTAGGGCTAGCTGCAAGAGGCACAAACTCCAAAATAAAAGTGGCTTAACAAGATAGAGGTTTATGTTTCCTTCAGGTAAATGAAGTCTGGGGTGAGCCGCCCAAGGCACTCAGGTGAACAGGGATGCGCTCAGTGATCATCGAGGACCCAAGGCTCCTTCTCTCTTTTGTCCACCATCTTCAACACAAAACTTCCAATTCAGAGCCCGAGGTGGCTGACTGACCTCCACCATCACGTCCACGTTAGATCCAGCAAGAAGAGGGATGAGAAGAAGGGCATACCCTCTCACTTTAACCCCTAGAAGTAGCACTCACAACCTCTGCTTACATCCCATGACCAAACCTTAATGACAAAGCCTTACCTAGCTGCTAGGGAGGTTGGGGAATGTCGTCTCTAATCTGAGTGGCCATGGACCCGCCCAACTGTAATTTCCACAGCAAAGGTAAAAATGAAAGAGTAGATTTAGGGGACTACCAGCAGAATCTGCCACAATATATTAATGGATTATGGTTTCTGATGTGTTAAAATTAGTGGGTGAATGGGGCACCTGAGTGGCTCAGTCGTTAGGCGTCTGCCTTCGGCTCAGGTCATGATCCCAGGGTCCTGGGATGGAGCCCCGCATCGGGCTCGCTGCTCAGCGGGAAGCCTGCTTCTCCCTCTCCCACTCCCCCTGCTTGTGTTCCCTCTCTCGCTGTGTCTCTCTGTCAAATAAATAAATAAAATCTTTAATAAAAAAAATAAATAAAGCAAGAGGATTTCAAAAAAAATTAATGGGTGACTAATGTGGGTGTCTTTGCTGTTTTTCAGTCATAGTTGTAAATATAGCTTGAGGTATACAAAATGAGATGAATATTAGTAGTTTATGGTACTGTAGAAGCACTCACAGAACGCAGCTTAAAACCCCCTGAACTAGAAACTCCCTAAGAGCTTTTCCAGCTTTGACATCCTAGAATTCTATGAAAGCCCTGCCCCCCTTCCATGAGCTTATGAAGGGCTTTCTCTCTGGGGACTGGCAGGGGACTTCTCGTTACCTCCAGGACTGAGAATTGTCCTCATTGTTTCTTCTGAGTCATCACACCCTGGCCAAATATCTTGAAAAGCACCCTGTCATTCAGCTGCTTCCCCAGAGGTGGTGTAGTTTACTGAGGCATTGAAATTGCCCGTGAATTAGCTGTGAATTAGCTGCGAGTGGCTCAGACTTCCTCCAGATTTTCAGAGATCTTTATAATAGAAGGGCCTAGCTTTGGTTCAACTCTTATTTTCAGAGGAAGAGGCACGGATCCAGAGAGGTTGAGAAGATTATCTGAGGTCACCAGCAACTTATAGCAGGGCAGGGCCACGTACTGACTTGTCCGGAAGCTTTTCACCACCACTAATTATAATAGCTTTAATTTAATGTACATGTTCTATGTGCCAGCCTGTGGGCTAAGCACATCACATGCAAGATCTCATTTAATCCTCATGAAAACCCTGAGAGATAGGTTTAATTTTTTTTTTCTTTTTTGGTCATTTTATAGACCAGGAAACTGCAACCTCAATTTGCCCAAGGCCTCACTGTTCCTTGGTGTTGGATCAGAATTTGAACCTAGACAGTGCACCTGCAGAGCCTGCTCTTTGACCTCTATGCTAAGAACGACTGCCTTCCACTAATGGTCTTGGAGTGAGGAGGACAGACTACTATGGAGCAGAAGCACTTCATCACCACTCGGGTATCACATCCGTTCAGACCCCCTTTGCCCCCAGTTTGTGCTCCGTCAGCAGCAGCTTGATGTCTAATTCAAGATGTCTCAGCACAGGGAGTAACATGCCCTGAGATGTGGATGCCAAACTTTCTAGCAGAACAAGAGCCCGGCCCTCAAATTTACCCCGAGCACCTGTCCTGTACGTCCTACGCTGTCTGTATGAGCCATCCTCGAACACTGCAAAGGTGACCAAATGGAGCATCAGGATCTGCAAATGCCCTGACCTTAGGTGTGGGGACACATCTCACGACCTCCCCCATCTCTGGACTGTCTCTGGACCTTGCCTGAACGCCTGCCGCAGGTCCCCCTCTGTGACAGGTTTCTATGTTGTATACAGGGGCACCACAGCCCCAGGGCCTTTCTGCCTGTTATCACTCACTTTTCCCCTGGGCAAAGGAGCTGAGGAATTGTCCAGCCTAATGGACAACAGGAAGCTTTCAGGACTTGGAGCACCATGGAGTTGCTGTGGAGACCTGAGCCGTTTAGCTCACCCCGACTCTTCAGGTTTCTCCTTGTCCTCCAGCACAGGAAGAGGCCAAGGAAGGATGATGGGATGAGGTAATGGGCCTGAGAGACTTTATCTTTGAGAAGGTTCTGGAAAGGCCCAGGGGCCACAGGTATTGTTTTTGTCCTTAGGCTGACCACCTTTCTGAGAGGAATGTTGGTGGGGGTTGGGCATGCTGGGCAGCCCGTTCAGAGGACAGGGGGGTTGGGACAGTGAAAGGCCATCAGCATCGCTGACCTGTTTCTGTCAAGAGCATAACCCTGGAAAATCCCAGAGCTTCACATGGCCCAGTCTGTGCAGAGTCCCAGTGGAAGAAAACAAAGTCCCACCGTCACAAGTCATTTTTAGAAGCTCTATAATCTTTACTTCTGTATCTCTAAGAGCATTAAAAAGGATCTAATTAATAATCCGTACAAAACTCCATTTCTGTTCTGTCAGATTCCTTCATCTCTTCATTCCTATTGCCTGACTGCCAGGAAACTGCAAAACCCCACACGTGGGACCTGTGGATTTTTGCCTCTTCCTTCCTTTCTTCCTTCCTTCCTATTAACTAAAAAAACCCACCTCTTTAGCACTTCTTATTTTGAACTAGCCATCGATTCACAAGAAGTTAAAAAGACAGTAGTACTCAGAGGTCCCATGTATTCTTTACCCAGTGTCCTACAATGGTTACATCTTACATAATTCTTTCCTATTAAATTTTAATAGCTCGGGGCGCCTGGGTGGCTCGGTTGGTTAAGCGTCTGCCTTCGGCTCAGGTCATGATCCCGGGTCCTGGGATCAAGTCCGGCATCAGGCTCCCTGCTCAGCGGGGAGCCTGCTTCTCCCTCTGCCTCTTCCTCTCTCTCTCTCTCTGACTCTCATGAATAAATAAATAAAACATTAAAAAAAAGACATTTAAAAATAAATAAATAAATAAATTTTAATAGCTCATCTAATCCTTGCAACAACTCCATGAGATCACTATTCTCATGACCATTTCACATAAGAAGAAACTGAGTTCCAGAAAAATTAAATACATTATTCAAGATCCCTAGCAATTTGGTGCAGAATTAGGACTTAGAATCATATTTCTTGACTCCAGACTTTGTCCATGCTTACGTTCTTTTTTTTTTTTTTTTTTTTTAGAGAGAGGGAGAGCATGCACCTCAGTGGAGGAGGGAGAGAGGCAGAGGGAGAGGGAGAGTCTTACACAGGCTCCTCAGAGCCTGACATGGGGCTGGATCTCATGACCCTGAGATCATGACCTGAACCGAAATCAACAGTTGGACACTTAACTGACTGAGCCACCCAGGTGCCTGTACAATAATTCTTCCCCCATCCCCTCCCTCCTGACCTTCTCCAGGAAAGAGGAAAAATTCTAGAGGCCCAGCCCCTGAAGGAATGCAGTTCTTCACATGCCTCAGAAGAGTAAGGGCCAGAGTTTGCTAAAAGTTGGAGGAGCCTCCCCTACATAACTTGGCTGTGGAGTCATCAAAATTATGCTTGTGACCCAGACAGCAGCTCCAGACACTGCTTCAGCCCCTTTCCGAAGCTGGAACAAATTTTCTCCTCCCCTTAAGGCTGCTCCTTGCCTGGTGTCTTTCTTCCTCTCTCCCAGCCTGCTTTGATGTTTCTCTATAGCCAGAGGGTGAGTCTCCTCTGCCACGTAAGGTCATCTCCTTTCTCTTAAAGGTCTGACTGTGGCTCACATTGTCTCATTGACAACGAGAAATGGCTCTATGCCTGCTGAATAAACGTGAGACCTCCTCAGAGCCAGAAATCTGGTTTCTTCTCTTGAAAGCGACAGGAAACCCAACCCAAAAGAGCAGAAGCAAAAAGGGATTGATTGGCTTCTGTTAGCAAGAAGTTGAGGAACAGGGCTGTATACCACATAAGGATTGCCCTCGGCTGTGTGTCACAGAAACTTGATTCCAAAATTTGTATTTCACTTTGCAAAGCACTGGGCCATCTTGGGATGCTGCAGAGTAGAAGTCCACGGTGCTGCCAGAGCTGCTTGGGTCAGCCAGCCCTGGTGGCCTGCATGCTCCTGTCTGCCACCCCAGAAGAAAGGAGACAACGGAGGAAGTCTCCCTCCACAGGCTTCCCCAGAAGCCCCAGGCACTGACGTTTGCTGCAAGTCGTTGGCCAGAAGCAGGTCACGTGGCCTTCCTGCATTGCCACGGAGTCTAGGAAGCGGAGTATTTGGGGTTGGACATAGAGCTCCCTGAGCAAAACTGAGGGTCTGTTGATTAGTCAGCAAAAGGGCAGACAAGTCACAGCATCTGCCCCAGGCCGGTTTAGGGGCCCAGGCCAATGTCCCAGGGCCAATCTCTATCTCTGTCTGTCTCTGTCTCTCTCCACTTTGTCCTCCTTCACGTGGGCTTCTTGCTCACGCAGGCCTCCGTGTGAGCTCAGGAAGGCTGCCGCTACTTTTGGATCTGACATCCACTCCTAGTCCAGCCCAGGAGGAAAAGGCCAGATTCTGTGTTGCATTCCACCTTGTGTTCCTCCCTGAAACAGTTCCTGCGGTCATGGAGAATGGGATGGCTTAGCCTAGTCTCATGCTCTTTTTTAAAGCTGGACTAAGTGCAGGAGAAGGTATTAACCGAGAAGGAAATCAAGGCATAGTTCCCAAAGAATGGGAAATGGTTGCTGGTGGCCCCAAATCAAACCCAACAAATCATAAACAAATATTCTCCTGCCAAACCTCAGGCATCCTTATTTTCAGAGATTCTTAAATCATGAAGGTGTGGGAGAGCTTCCTATACATTTGATTAAGATTTCATGTTTTAGATCAGTGGTTCTCAAAGTATGGTCCAGGGTACCTGGGGTCCCCTTGAAGGTCCAAACTATTTTCATAATACTACTAAGATGTTGCTCGCCTTTTTTATTCTCATTCTCTCACAAGTGTCCAGTGGAGTTTTCCAGAGGTTACATGACACGCAGCTCTGACACCG